TTCAGTTATGTCATTGAATTTATTTTCAATCGGTTCTACCACTGAACTATATATACACTGGAATGGGCATCGAGGAAAATTCATGGCCGTAATTGATCAGCCGCCATTTTGGCTGGGTCAGATGCTTGAGCGAATCAGAAGCGTTCGCGCGCGCGTTGCGATCGATTTATCGATCAATGTACTATCGATGTATGAAAATCTGTATGGACATAAACGGTATATAAATAAAAATAATGTCGTTTCAATTTTATTAGTACACTCAATAAAATAACTTTAATAATACTCTTCATATATCCTACATCGTTAACACATATGCAGGAATTTATATATTTAATACAAAAATTGTTACCTATGAAATGAAAGGCCCTTTTTACTTCTTTGCCCATACCCAGGCACACAGCACTAGGCCGCGTTCGAAAACATCACCTAAGTGCCTCGATTCTCCCGAGGATCGTTCGAAAACACTTCGATACTCTCGATGGACTTTCGATTGTTGCGTTCGAAAATACACCCGAACCACTTCGAGAGTGACTATTTCTCCCTACCTCGCTAAGGTAGGGAAAAGAGAGTATCTCTCGGATAAACGTGAAGCGGAAAAGTGGAAAAGATATCGTCCATAGAGATTAATTTATCGAGACATCAGTTGATCAGGGATCAAGTTACAAATGAAATAACTACACAAAATGGATGCTTGCTTTTGTGGGATAAAGTGGGTATGTATTTATTTTTACAAATCTTTTAAAGTATCCTATATCTACAAAGTATCTTAACCTATATCTATACTTAAGACTGTACACTTCAGTTATGTCATTGAATTTATTTTCAATATAATAATAATATATTAATATTAATTAAACATAATTCTCAATAGTAGATGTATTGCCATTGTTAGCTTTTTTTTCTTCTTTGCCCATTATTTTACTGTTTTTTCTTTTTTGCCCATTATTTTCAGGAAATGGATGTAAGTATAACGCTGTTACTTTTATCGTTACTATTATAAAAAATTCACAACATCATTAAGAATGGATGTAAGTATAACGCTGTTACTTTTATCGTTACTATTATAAAAAATTCACAACATCATTGCCAAATCATTATTATAACAAAGTAACGGCATTGCAAGTAACGTATACATCCATTTCCTGATTTTAATTTTAATGACACTATAGTTTCAAAGAATGACGTTGCTTCCACTGATAAATGAATGTTTACAGCGTTCTCATTTTTTAAAAATAAAGTAATTTTCTTTTCATCACATTTAAGAGTCAATCACAGTTAAGAGTCTCATTCGAAATCACATAAGTTGATATTCGCATATACCTAGTATTTTAATATACCTTTGAAATTGTTTTTGCAGGAAATACTATGCTCGAAGTGCCAGATGTCCCACAAATTCGACAATGTTTTGGTGTGGAGCCTCAACGTGAAACATCAACTGAAAAATTATCTGAATTAGTTTGTGAAAATAATACAAATCTACTTTTGAGTGAGACTTCAACATATGATGAAAAGAAAACTATTGCGTTTTGGAAAGATGAGAACGCTGTAAAGGCACTCATTAATCAGTGGAAACAACATCAACCTCTGTTTGAAAGTAGTGTCACTAGAAATGATGTTGTATGGGCAAAAATAAGTGAAGAGTTGAAAAAAACGAACAATGCCTGGAAATATACTGCTAAAAACTGTGAAAATAAATTTAAAGACATAACTAAAGTGTACAAGCGTACAAAAGATCATAATAATCAAACAGGAGTTGAACCGAAAACCTGCAAATATTTTGAAGAATTGGAGGAAGTGCTAGGAGAGAAACCTTGTAAACATAACTAAAGTGTACAAAAGATCATAATAATCAAACAGAAGTTGAACCGAAAACCTGCAAATATTTTGAAGAATTGGAGGAAGTGCTAGGAGAGAAACCTTGTCTAAAACCTATTGCTTTAGCTTCAAATCTGAAAAAAAGATGTCATTTAGCAGTAATTTCAAAGAATACATCTAGTACTGATACAACCAACGACACTAATAATGCAGAAGATAGTAGAGTCCCAATAAAAAAAGTAAAAACACGTATGGAACGTGAATTAGAAGTATGGACAAAAATGGTGAGCGAAGAAAACCGGAAACGTGATGAAGCCAAAGAACGAAGGCACAAGGAGTTATTGGCACGTCAAGATAAAGCTCGAGAGATGTACGAACAGTTTATGACAAAACTCCTCGACAAACTGTGATTATATAAGCTAATTCTTTATATAGACCACGGTACTATTATATAATAATAACGTCTTTATATTCTTTTATGTACTTTTAAATACCTTTATTTATTTTTTTAAATACTTATTAGTTATTGTCATATTGCAGGATGTACTGCCTTTGTGCCTCTTAAATTAGTAAAAAAATTCCGTTACAGCTTAGACAAATTTGCATAGTCGCATAAATATATGCGTAAGGAAATTTATTATCATAAATAAATGCATAAATAGATCAATCAATTTCTTTATTCATATGTTTATGTTATTATGCAGATTTATCCGGATATACTTTTATTCATTGGCAATATTGAAAATCTAAAACTTACGTCATTTGTAGCATGAATTTCGTGCGCTCTGCATATTATGTGGCTTTTCTGCGCATTTAATAAGTATTAATTACTTCATCTAATGATTTAAGAGCCTATATGATTAAAGTACTTGTATCCATAACACCTTATTACAGTTTTATAACTCTAAAAGATTTCAATGTAGTATTTTTGTTGTAACTCTAAAAGATTTCAATGTATTTCATTGTTTACTATCAGACGTAATTTGACCATATCGTCCTCCGTTAATTCTCTGGAAGCACGAGTTATTAAATAAAAGGGATACCATGAATTTTCAGTATTGTCAATGATTGTCAACAGAAGACAATCTAGATATTAATATTGTGCAGTCTAGGTGCGTTCCGAGTTACACATGAAACGCATGATGTATCGTTTTATCTTTCTTTATTATTTGATGAACAACAAAGACAAACGATGCACATGCGCTTTACGTGTAACTCGGAACGCTCCTTGTATCTGTCTTAATTTTACAATATTATATAAGAATGCTCTTATTGCACAAATTATGTGCACGAAGTTTATTAGTTTTTAAATCAGCATTTTATATTTATTGTAGACTGAAGATTTTTCTTTAATATTGTTGCAATTGAAAGTCTATGATTCGTTATTTTTGTTTTTCTTATTATTTGAAAATGATTTCCATTATCTTCGATATTTTGCAACTCATTATAAAAACTGTATTCCGAGATTCACTGCCAGTAATAAAAATCTGTAATATGAAGCCTGTTCTTTTTAGCTGAACTTTTGCATCAGTTCATCTTCCTTCTTTTTCTGTTCAGGAGGAAAGAAGAAGAAAAAAGAACGGGCCTATAATGTAACGTACACTATAAATTTCGAGTACTGACAGTGAATTTCGGAACGTAGCCAAAATGAAAATGTGATATTGAATTTTTGTTCCTTTACAATACAATGTAATGGCTGTTTCTGTAATGGCTGTGATAGTGTTACAGATGTAAATGATTATAACTATTAAAATTTCTAATTAGTTTAAGTTTTATTGTGAAATAAATAAAATACAATTAAAATTAATAAATCTGTATTTGTAAGTATTAAAATTCTTTCTTTATTTGTCATATTATTTATAATATCACAAACAATTAGCGAATAAAAGCAAGATATTGTCGTTTCAGTATACCCTCAGGATCGTCTTGAAAGTTTACTGGCCGTCTAATAAAATGAACATCATCATTGTCATTAAATATTAAAATTCTCTCTTTATTTGTCATATTATTTATAATATCACAAACAATTAGCGAATAAAAGTAGCAAGATATTGTCGTTTCAGTATATCCTCAGGATCGTCTTGAAAGTTTACTGGCCGTCTAATAAAATGAACATCATCATTGTCATTAACATTGTCAATGTCATCGTATCCTTCGATAATAAAGTCTTCATAATCTTCCAACTCATTATTAAGGCAAATATTATGTAGTACACAGCACGCCAGAATGACAAAAGGAATCATATCATCATGATTCATATCCAGGAATTTCAGGCGTCTCCATCTACCTTTCAGCAATGAAAATGCTCTTTCGATAACCTGTCTCATACTGGCATGTGCTGTGTTAAACTGTTTCTGAGCCTGTACAAACATAAAAAACGAATAAAAGAAGATGATCTTCCAGTTACTATAAGGCATAGTGGCGTTGACTATGCGATTCCCACTCATAACGTTTGTACATCAGGAAAACTATAAGTGCACCGGTCGCTATGAAGGGTTATGGTCAATTACAACTTGGTAGAGACCCTTTACTAGAGACCATAGAGGTATTATAAATAGAGGGCAAAAGCCGTAGGTACAGGCGTTAGCGGGATAGAAAGAGAACGCTGCATAGTTACTCGTGTCATTCTTGTTTAATGACGCATGCGCGCAGCCCACCCATGTTTACTTACAAGCATGGTAGTGAATATGCCGGAATTAACCGCTTTCGATTTTGCAAATGTTGTTCTTGTACAGTTTTTTTCAAAAATGACTGTAAAGTGTATCGTGTGCAAAAAAGAATCAAACCGATTTTCTGATCGCAGTTTTCATAAGTAAGTACACACATATTGTACGTATACATAACAAACATACAAACCTAACCTTAATAAACATTGTAATTAATTGTATAAAAATTGATATCTGTAGTTTCAATGATACTTTTCTATTTTAACTATAATTTCTTTATTTTTTACTTTATTTACCATAATTCTTGCTTAATGACACATATTCTCACATTCACTTTTGTTTAAATTTACCGTTAATTGTTCAACTTTCATAGAAGCTTTTTATAATTCAGAAGAATTGCTATATTTGGTATTATTATTTACTTTGAATATGAAAATTATATGATCTGTAATATATATAATTATAATTATTTTACAGTTTAATTATAAAGATTTGTAATTTATACTACGATAAAGATGAATTTCGAACAAGAAACCGACTACTTACATCAGCGGTTCCAGAAATAATTATAGAACATGCATCGACTTCATCTACAAATGAAATAAACAATCGTGCGATACAAAAACAAGACTGTGATAATAGTACTATGAAAGAATGTGATGAAAATGAAACTCCAAGTACGCCAGTTTCCTCTAGAGATTTTACTTCTCCAAACCCCACCGCAGAAAATGTATCACTTTCTACTAATGAAGATGTTACTTCTCAAAGCTCAACGGAAACATTTGCCGAAGATGTCATATCACAAAATGGCAGTAGCAATTTGGACATCCAAGCGCAATCACTCAACACCAACACAAGAAATGTTTCGAACAGTCGAAAACGGTAACAATAATAATATATACATAAATTTGCTTTTACCCTGTAACTTTTTGTCCGTGTAGCACCACTCGGGTGCATTTGTTTTCAATTAATTGAAAACAAATGAATAAAAAATCAGTATATCAATTACAAATAAAGAAACGGATATGAGTAAATCGTTACATGAAACAGTAAAGTCAAATTAAAAATCAATGACCGCAATAAAGCGCTTAGTAGGTATATAATAATTTTTCTATCTTTTCTATTTTTATAGGAAGCAATCGCTTGCAGCTACCATTGAAACCAACACAAGTAAACGAATTCGTTTTATGGTTGGATTCCAAACTAAGTACATGTCGAGAAATGATTTTATTTCAGATGAAGCATGGAATAAGTTCCTTCGATATCGATTATGTCAACAATCAAAAATGGCAGTTGCACATAATAGAAGTTGTAGGAAAAGAAAAAAAATACAAAATCTGCAGATTCTGATAAAAGATCTAGAGAAAATAGAAGAATTTAATGCTGCAGAGTATTTAAAGGTCTCGTTATAATTTGTTTATTTTGTACACTTCTTTTAATTGTATTAAATTTTGAACTTTCTTTTTCTTTTATTTATCTATAAAATATATGGGCGATTCTCTCAAAAAGAACACATTCAGAATTAAGATTTCATAAAAAAAAATTGCAAAATCTACGTCAAGAGGTGGACCTAAATAAGTCAATAAAACACGCGGTTACAATCTTTTTAAACATTATTATTAAAAAATTAATGTTTTATGTAAAAAATGTATTCAACTTTTATCATTATGTATTTTTATACATGACAAAAATCAATTATCTACAATTATTACATTTTTTAATGTTCATTTATTATGATTTACACATGAATTGTAAATATGAGATGTTTTTTGTAATGAAACAATAACTAATATTATGCTGTTTAATTTTTTCAAGGATTTACCACCGCATGTGCAAGAGCTTATAACCCGCATGAAAAATAAAAACCCGACTGCTCCTTTTCCTGCCAGCCTTAAAACATTCGCAAGAACACTTCACTTCCATTCACCAGCTGCTTATGAAGTTGTTAGAAATAGTTTTCTAAAATGTTTACCATGTGTACAAACCCTAAATAACTGGATTTGCTCGAAGCAGTACAAACCAGGCATTTCAAAAGACATGATTAATAATGTTTCCAGTATGGTGCGTGAAGAAATGAAGACAGGGAAACAAATCATTTTTAATATAACTTTCGACGAAATGCATATCAAACAGCACAAATTCTGGGATAAAAATTCTCACTCGTGGCAAGGCCTGGTAGATCATGGTGGTCAATTGAGCGAACAGGGCGAAAATGGGAAAAAACAAGAAGCCACAAAAGCTTTAGTGTTCATGGCAGTGACCATAAATGCTGGTTTCAAAGTTCCAGTAGCTCATTACCTTATAAATTCACTCAATGATACAGAAAAAGGTATATTACTAAAAGATCTGCTAATAAAGTTACATGAAAAAGATATCAAGGTCGCTAGTGTAACATTTGACGGAGATAGGGCTCACAAAACAGCTTGTCACTCGTTAGGAGCAAACTTAAACTACAGCGACAAAGAAAATTTCAAGCCTTACTTCGATCATCCGGTAACTGCAGAA